GCACACCAACTCAAGAATCAATGCCAGAAAGCAATGCAAGATCAGAGAATGATACTAGCTTTTGCTAAACAAGCTTTTTACGTTATAAGCAGAGAGGCAAAACTACTGTACCATCTGTTGCCATTTTTCTTGACTGTCCAGATGTTGTAGTTAACCTAAATCCAGCTGGTAATGTTTCTGAGGAGCCAGGCATCATGCTGATTCCATGTACTTCACGAGGAGGAAACTGCCTTCTCCAGGTCGACCCACGTCTGAAATTCTTGTCATCACTCTGCCAGTACAGAGTTATAATTTGATGAAATAAAAACAAGTAAACTAGTCCAGGTGTGTAAAACTGTGTGCTTAGAAGCAAGTAATATAGATAATTTATGTTCAGTCTGTCAAATACACACACACACGCACACACATATACGATATTATGCTTTATTCAGAAAGTTCTATGACCCCAAAATGAGAACTTAGAAAACTCTGAAACAGAAAAATATTTTTACAAAACTTTTCAAATTATTCATATCTAATATCTGCCATCTATAAAGAAAATATCTTTGAAAACCTAAAACAAAACCTCAATGTTTTCCCAAAGCATATTGAATATACTTTGTGACATACTAAACATATCTTGTCCTTTTATACTTAAGTTTCTCACTTACGGAAACTCTGTCCATTCCCTGAAGTAATAGTCAAGTATGGTCTGTTGGCCCACTAGCTCACTTGATTTATTTTTGTTATATAGAATACTAGGCTGATATATTCAGCTCAGATCATCATTATTATATATAGAATTCTTCTTCAAAGACTGCTAATTTAACTAAATTGCATCCAAAGTCAATATGGGGAAAACGCAGTCATTTATATATAATTACATATATCCACTCTTAGAATCTTTGTTATCAATATCTAAATTTTGTTCTGATAAGAGATGTCTGCCACTCCTCAACTGCTGGGTTTTATATTGCCCTGGACCTCCAAATGTTTGTAAATATAGAAAAAAAGCAGAATTTCACTGTTGAGGCCTCTCTTACTTCTTGATTCTTGAGGAAGTTGTTACATAAACATGAATATTCTTCACTTTTGCCACACACTACATTACTCTAAGACCATACGACTCCTATAACGTGCTAGTTAAGGACTCAAAAATAAGCTAGTCAGTTGAGAGCTTGAATCACGATTCCTTATTTTTTGCTTGTTCAGTAAAGTTAATTATATAAAGTCAATAGGAACTACAAGGAACAACATCCTTGGGGAAAAGTTTTCATGAGGTGGATTTAAAAGATATCTTTTTACTTGTGGTCAAAGTTCACAGAAGCACATCATCACTTCTCAACTTATTTCAGTAAGTGGAATCTGAATGTGATCAGCAAAGCCCCAGGAGCAAGCCCATTCTAGTTCTAGGTAAGTTTGGATATTTGTGCTTGCACAGAAAACAAAATGAAACAAATGAACAAAAAAACCTAGGGCAAAAGAGATGACAGGGTTTGAATGATAAAAATTATGTGCTGTCCTTTTAAAATAAGAAGCAGCAGCAGTATATTTTAAATGCAGATAGCCCCATCCCATTTAATTGACCCAACAGACTTTTCTGCTTGTCCATTACTTTTGGGAAGCAACACTATAACCCACATAGACTAGTGTCTCCACCAAGACAACTCCTGC